CCAACTGCTAATTAGTCAGCTGTAAATGACCCAGAGGTCAGACAGGCCAGGCCAGGCCATCGCCAGCCTGGCTGCCAGCAGCAGCCCGACTGCATTCCATGGCCCTGTGCTGCAGAGGGGTGAGTGAAGCACTCACGTTCTCTCACTGCTGCTTTGTCTCTCAGAAGTTTTTCCTTCTGCTTTCAGTACCAATAAATTCTGTTAAAACAGCTGGACTAGGGAGTGGTGTTTTCATGCACAGACATTACTCCTGAAATTCTGGGTGTCGTAGCACACACAGCCTTTCTGGCACTGACAAGCTGGGGGTGTTGCCTTTATTGGCCAGGACATTAATTGGGAAAACATTCAAAGGACTCATTGCAATTCCAGCTCTGTATGTGTGTTCACATTAAAGCTGGTATTGCTGGGAAGATGTCTGATAGTTCAGTAAAAAAAAAACCAAACAGAAATGCTGTTAGGAGCCGTGGGCTGTGCTTGTAGCAAGAGAACTGGCATTATTGCCCCAGGAGAGGGCACTTAAGACTCTGTCCCTTCCCATACAAAGCAGCCTGGTGGCCAAAGCAGGTTTTGCCAGGATGGCTACAGGCCTGTGGCCAGCTTGAGCCACGCTGCTCACAGATCTGGCCTCACCACCCTTCCTGCCAGGAACAGCTCTGGTTTGTAAACGTGGCATAAGCCTCCGTGCTCACAGCCCGGCAAAGGCTGGAACACAAGTTCTCTGTTACACTTCTTACAGACTGGCTTTATTTAATTTTTCTATCAGTGAACAGGGACAGTCTCCAGCAGTTTTAACCTGTTATCTAACTGCTATTGTTGCATTTCAGAAGTGAAGTTAGAAGCCAAAGCAGCTCTGAATCAAGCCCTCGAAATGAAGCGCCAAGGGAAGCGGGAGAAAGCTCACAAACTCTTTGTGTACGCCCTCAAAATGGACCCTGATTATGTAGATGCCCTGAATGAATTTGGTATCTTTTCTGAAGAGGAAAAAGACATTCTCCAGGCTGACTATTTGTATTCCAAAGCACTAACCATTTCTCCCTGCAACGAGAAGGCTTTGATCAATCGGGACCGGACGTTACCTCTAGTTGAAGAGATCGATCAGAGGTATTTCAGCATTATTGACAGCAAGGTTAAAAAAGTGATGGCCATCCCCAAAGGCAATTCTGCCCTGCGCCGAGTGATGGAGGAGTCCTATTACCACCACATCTACCACACGGTCGCTATTGAAGGCAACACTCTGACGCTGTCAGAAATACGACACATCATTGAGACCAGATACGCCGTACCTGGAAAAAGCTTAGTGGAGCAGAACGAGGTGATTGGCATGCACGCAGCTTTGAAATATGTCAATACCACCCTGGTGTCACGGATAGGCTCTGTCACCATCAGTGACATCCTGGAGATACACCGCAGAGTGCTGGGCTACGCTGACCCGGTGGAGGCAGGGCGGTTCAGGACTACTCAGGTGTTTGTAGGACATCACATACCACCCCATCCCCAAGATGTTGAGAAACAAATGCAGGAATTTGTGCAGTGGATTAACTCAGAAGATGCCATGAGCTTGCACCCTGTGGAATTTGCTGCTTTAACCCACTACAAGTTGGTTTACATCCATCCCTTTGTAGATGGCAACGGAAGGACCTCGCGCCTGCTGATGAACCTGATACTGATGCAGGCGGGTTACCCGCCCATCACCATCCGCAAGGAGCAACGGGCCGAGTATTACCACGTCCTGGAAGTGGCCAACGAGGGTGACGTGAGGCCTTTCATACGCTTTATTGCCAAGTGTACTGAGACAACTCTGGACATGTTGCTCATTGCCACCACAGAATACTCTGTGGGGTTACCTGAAGCAGAGGGCTGCGCTGCCGGCTGCAAACAAACGATCCCCGTCAAGACTTGAGGGTTGTAGATGTTCAGAAGCC